CGGTGTGCCGGGCGCTGGGAGCACTGGGAGCTGGGTGCTGGGGAGCTGGGTGCTGGGAGCACTGGGAGCTGGGTGCTGGGAGCAAGGGAGATGTGGAGATGTTTGCTGGGAGCACTGGGAGATGGGTGCTAGGAGCTGGGGAGCTGGGTGCTGGGAACACTGGGAGCTGGGTTGCTGGGGAGCAGGGTGCTGGGAGCAAGGGAGATGTGGAGATGGTTGCTGGGAGCACTGGGAGCCGGGGACCTGAGTGCTGGGAGCACTGGGAGATGTGGAGCTGGGTGCTGGGACTCTGGGGAGCTGGGTGCTGGAAACTGGGGTGCTGGGAGATGGGAAGCTGGGATATGGATGCTGGGAGCTAGGTGCTGAGCACTGGGAGCTGTGGTGTTGGGAACTGGGAGCTGAGCCCTGGGTGCTGGAGAGCTGGGTGCTGGGAGCTGGGTGTTGGGTGCTGGGCACTGGGCAGCCCTGGCTGTGGTAAGCGGCTGTGAAAGCTGTGCTGGTGCTGTGGGCTGCTTCCCATCAGCTTCAGCCTGTGGAGAGAAACAGCACAGCAAACCATACAAGGTGACAGCGGGGTTACAGGCTGGGCTTTTGGGTACCCCGGGGACAGCACCAGGGGACATGAGGGCACCCGAGGGCACCCAACAGCAGCGTGGAGGCAAAGCAGGCAGCCTGTCCCTGGGCAGGGCTGTACGTCCTGGCCACGCCACCGGCTCCCCAGCCACGGCGCTGCCCACGGCTCTCATTTGCCAGCAGTGATGCTGGGAGAGGCACATTTGGGAGCTGGGTCTGGGGTTGTGAGGGTTCTTGGCAGGCCTCAATCGCCAGCGTTGGGCTCCCTTTGCTCCACCTCTGCCCCAGCCGCTAAAGGTTTTGCTCAAGCTCGGGCTGGTCCCAGCAAGCAGCTCCCTGCCCCATCCAGCCCAGCAGCCGCCCTGCTTCATCCAGGGCAGCGCTATCCCAGGGCTATGGCATGATAACTGCAAATCCAGCCCCAAAACTGCTCTGGAAGGTGACACACACCCACCCATTACCGCTTTAAATCCAGCCTGAGGCACTTCTTCCCCCTGCAAAGCCTGCCCAGAGGCTGGTGGCAAACCCAGCCAGGTCTGCCCATCCGTGGGAGGCCAGATCTGCAAGATCAGGGTTGTAAAACAACATCTGATGTCCCCAAAAACATTCCTGAGAGGTGTAGAAAGGGCTGCAGCACCTAGGCTTTCGAGTGCCACGAAGGGCGGGAGGACCCACGGGTGGCAGACAGGGGCAATGGCTGTGCCCAGACCCAGCTGGTCATGCTCAGCCAGACACCATGGGTTGTGGAGGCTAAAACATGGCTGGAAAACACCCAAATACATGGAAAAGAAAAAATTCAGTCTGGGGCTATAAAACCTCCAGCACCAGCAGCTTGGGGATCAGCCCGTCCCTGCATGGGGTTGGCTGCCAAATCCTCCAGCTCCTTGGTGCAGCCTCAAGCGCCCAGCACCGCCAGGATCTTGAGCCCAGCCTCTTCCTCCAGCCTGGAGAAAGGGAAGCAGCTCGGGATGGGACTGCTGGTGCTTTCATGGTGCACAGAGCACCCGGGGGAGCGGGATTGCCTCCAGATCCTTACAGCAACCCTGTGGGCTGCCAGGGCCAAAAAATAATCGCACGTGGCAACCTCACTGTCGCTCCCATTGGTAAATGTTTTGTGTATAAAGTGACCGAGGGGCCGGAGCTGGATGCTGGCTGATTTGGCACATGCATATGTGTGTGTGTGTGTCTCAGCTGTGCCGGGACAGCTATGGGCTGAAAGATAAGTTCAACACCCCAGGAAGTTTTGGGTTATCAGCACGCCAGGCCGTTCCCTTGCTCCTGCAAACACCCCATGTGCCTCTGCCTTGTGCTCGGCTTCAGGCAGCAGCAGGCAGGGGGGGTCCCATGACACAGACACTCGTGACCAAGGGGGCTGTTGTCAGGCTCCGACCCTCTGAAGGCACAAACACCTGGGAAATGGGACACGCAGGGAGTCAAACCCCCATCTGCACCAGCTGCGGACTCTCATGTCCTTGAGTTGCCAATGCCGTAGCTACCGTTTCTACACAGAAACACACCCAAAAAAAGGGGGGGGGGTCTTCTGGTTTGTAGGGATGGGCTGGCACCAGGACCGCTCACTGTGAGCTCAGGGTGTGCCAAGGAGGTGTGAGGAGCAACAATCATGGCCTGGGAGCATCCCAGGGAGTGTGGCTCTGCCTCCCTCCCCCCACCCTCCCGAAGATCCCAACATCTCCCAGGCAGGGAGGGGACAAGGACAAAATCCTCTAGAGGAGGTGAGGGCCCCTCCTGCTCCCTGGCACCCTGTCAGCCATTGCCACTGCCGCCGCAGACTGGGGCAAGCCCAGGCCTCTCGCTGGCAGCCAGCCCTGCCCACACCTCCCGGCACAGCCTGGCACTGCCTCTCCTGCACGGTGCTCACTGGGGACAGGAAGAGTCCCAGAGGGGCTAGGGGCACCCAGTCCCACACCAGGGGTGGCACAGGGGAGTTCCTGCTCCATGGATGGGGCCCCAACATCACCAGCCTCCTTCACAGCCCCCCCAGATCTCTGCAGAGGGGGGTTCTGCCCCCCTAATGGCCCCTGAATCTACAGCAGGGTCGTAGTGGGACAGACAGAGGGGCAGAGGTGGACCTGTCCCCCTTCTCCCTGCCCAAATCCCAAGATTTGGCCCATTTTGCACCTCCCCATCCCCTTTTCCGTTCAGGAACAGCCAGGCCATTTCCAACACTAACCCTCCAGACAGAAAACGTTCAGCACAATTAACCCCCACTCACTAAAATCATGAACAACATGGTGGGTGGGTGGGTGTGATTTTGGGGTTTGCTAGCCCAGAAAAAAAACCCTCTTTGTCTTTTTTTAACAGCAGAATTTGATTCAAAAAGCTTCAAGCAGCTGTGCAGGCCGATTTCCTGCATCGTTCCTCCCAAAATCACGCAGGGACATGACCTGGGTCCAGCATGCCCCATGCTTCCCTCCAAGAAAGGAAAGTCCAAGACGTCTGCCTTCGTATGGGGAGCCTTTTTTTTGCCTTTTTGCAAAGTTTATTGCTTGGTTTTGCCTCTTATGTGTCCTGATCCCCAAAATACACATTATTCCCTTAAATACTTGCAGAATGAAAACCCCACCCTTAACACCCACAGCTCAAGGAGCATTACCAGTGCTGGAGGCAAGAGCGGAGGCTTTGGGAAAAATCCAAGGGAGACACTTGGAAAAGCTCCTCATTAACTTTGCTTTTCAGGTCGCTCCTCTCCTTGAGATCCAAGATGGAGCCTAGGCTGAGGCTGGGAGGAGGTGGCAGCAGAGCTGGAAATGGGCAGAGAGGTGATTTGGGGTGAGAACTGCCACCTCCCGAGAACACCCAGCTCTCCCTGCACCGGCAAAAGAGGCCATGTTCCTCGTGGGGAGTCATCGTCTTCTAATTGTGATCCCTGCCTGCTAATTGCCACCCGGGAAGGGTTCTGAAGGAGGAGAGAAGCGTTGGAGTTAAGTGCCAGAGGGCTGAAGCAGAAGGCCGGGCCTAAAGCTGGGCACCCTCCATGAGCCAGGCACCCCCTCCTGCAAGCCGGGTACCCCCCCTTGGAGCTGGGGTACCCCTTGCGAGCCGGGCACCCTCCTCTTGGAGCTGCGGTACCCCCTGCGAG